GAATACTAGTGAGAGACCCTTCAGAGGTCTCTCGCTTTTCAGACCTGCCACCTTGCAGTGCTTGAAGTGGAGAATAGTCTGGTCTGGCTGGTGCTAACACAGAGCACAATCTCTGATTGTGCATAACCCATCATAGACATGTAGACTGAAGGGGTTGTTACTCTTTATTTCTTTAAAATTCTGCAATTTGGGGATACATGTTAATGCGTCATAATATTGCCACTCCTGACTGTTACAACCTGCAAGGCAAATAGCCTGGAACTGTCACCTGGATTGACTGGTAGGGGCTGCCTGGAGCCCTGAATGGGAGAAAAATCTGAGGTCCCATCTGGGCTCTGTAGGAGGGATTGGTGACGACTGCAATGCCCACAGGTGGGAGTTGGCAAATCCTCTGCCTGGTTTTCAGGGTCCTCAAAATTCAGGACCTAACACACCCTCCCAGGGGTCTTGGTTATTTTCTTTCTGTTCTGGCCCCAAGAAGGTCTTGTCCCGAGCACGCAGTACCCTTCTCCACTCCAGTGCTTCATTACTGATGCCACCACCATCCACCCACCCACATGCCATGGTCATCCTTCACAGGGGCTCTCAGAGGATTTTTCCTTTGCAGCCCACAGTGACCCTGCTGTCCTGAGCCCAGACCACGCAGTGCCTACACTCCATTAATCTTTGTCAGTCTTGCTTTGTTTTCTCACACTTCATTCCTCCATGGTTACCTAACATTCCTTGGGTTGAAGTCTTGACTCCCTAACTAGCATGCACACTCAGGGAGTGGCCTTAGTTTTGCAATTCTTCACAGCAGTGTCTTGGTGATAGCAGGCACTTGAGAAATCCATTCCAAAGAATTGGCTGGATTGATGGAGTGAGGCTAGGGAGGAGAGGGGAAACAGTGCAGTCATCTAAGGACCCCTCTCTCCATCTCTGCACTTGCCCAACCCATTATGCCTTCCACTCTCAGGCCAGTCCTTCTCTGAACTGCTGGCCCATTTCAGCGTGGAGATCTGCCCCCTGGACAGTGACTCTTGTGCTCTGGCGGTGACTGCTACAGCAGCCAGTGCAGTGTGTGGCTGGGCTAAGCCCTGGGAGAAGGAGCGAGTCAGGGCAAGATGAGACCCAACATGGACTCTGCACTGATGGACTTCCCAGGGAGCTGACTTAGGATAAGATGAGGGTAAGTGTGAGAATTAGCCCCACAGGAGCCAGAGGAGTGCCCAGTGGAGGTCTCAGCCCACATGAAGTGTGGGGGCTCTGGGGGATCCAGCACTGGAGCTGGGTCTGAGCAAGAACCACTAGTGGCCAGCAACGGGCCTGAGAAGTGACATGGGCCTCCCACTGGGAGGCAGGAACTTAACCTCATCCTTAGTCCTAAGGGATGCTCCGGAGCGCTTTTTACTAAATTGACATGTAATAATTGCACATTTATGGGGTAGTGTGACATGGAATATTTGCACATCCAAGAGGTGTAGTGTGATAATTTGGTATCTGTATATACTGTAGAATGATCAAGTCAGGATATTAGCTTTTCCTTCTCCTTAATCATGTATCCTTTATTTGTCCTTGTAACCTTCAAACTCCCCCCTTCTGGTTCTTTATGATGCATGTGATAAGCAGTTGTTATCTGTGGTCACCCCACGGCGCAGGACAGTGCCTGACCTTGTTCTCCAGGCCACGGGCCTCCCCTTCTGCATTCGCTTCCTTTCCACTCCTGACACCCCTTATTTTTTTCTGTGTGTTTTTTCACATTCTTTGAGTTTGCTTACCTTATGTGAAAACCAAAGTAACTACTCCTGTAATAAGTAAATAAATAAATTAGTTGATTAATTAACTTAAAAAATGGCCTTGGAGTGCCCAAGTCCCAGAGCTCGGGGCCACCCACCCACGTGCATCCGGGGTCCTGCTGCCTGGGGCTCCGCTCTTCCTCGTGGTGTGGTCACTGTTGTACACACGTGTTCTCAGGGAGGATGGACTTGGGGGCGTTTTAGTTGTGGTTTTTCAGGAGGATATTCCACTTGTTACTCCTCTGTTTTTCCCTCTTTCTCAGGAGGCTTGAGATTGCCCCCCAATTCTCACAGTCCTGCCCCCCACTCCATCCCTAGGCTGCCTTGAAAAGCATCTCTTTATATACAGAGACACTTCTTTGGGAAGATGTGCGCATTCGGACAGGTCTCGAGAGGAAAAGAGCACCGCGGCGAGCTCGGGGTCCCTGGGGGTCACGGCAGTGCTGGCCAAAGCAGGGCAATGGCAGCGTCTCCCTTAGAATAAAAGGTTTTGCCTTGTACTGTGAGAATCTGTAGGGAGCCTGGCAGGGGCCTGCACGGCTAGTGGCAGCATAAATAGGTCTTCGGGAACAATTTATCAGGAGTAGCAAAGCCTCACTTTGACCTTGTCTCCCTGTTGAGGATTCATTCAGAGAGTGGGCAGCTAGACGCCTTTTGGGGTAAAAGGGACCCCAGGAACTCATGCCATTCCTCCATCTCTCCCAACTCCTAAAGGACCATGATGGGGAAGAGGGAGCACCTTGAGGAGAGTGGTGACAAGTTGTGATGTGACAGTCCCCAAAGGCCAGAACAGAAAGAAAATAACCAAGACCGCTGGGAGGGTGTGTTAGGTCCTGAATTTTGAGGACCCTGAAAAACAGAGATGCCAGCTCTTGGGAAAATGCAGTGCTTACCCGCATGGGGGTGACAGGAAGGTTGACGGTTTCCTCTTTTGCTCTTTTCTCTTCTGTCTCATCTCCTCTCTTTTTCAGAACCTGCTTTAGTCAGTAGGTATTATTTATGGCCACAGAAGGAAAGAAGGACTCGATACGTGAATGTGCAGGGTCCCGTGTGCCCCCTCGGGTGGCATCAGAAGGGGCAGCGCGATCCCCACTGCTCACCTGGCACACGCACAGCATCCGCTCTGCAGTGAGGGGCGGGCGGTGGTGCTGGGGTTGGGACCCCAGGACCTTCACTCGGCGGGTGAGCTGGGAGCCCCCAGCCAGGGCTGGGTGCAAGTACAACTTAGCGAAGGCACTCTCCGTCTCCCACAGGCGTCAGCACCCTCGTTATGGGGCTCTGTGTCCTCCCCATCCCCTCTTTCCCCTTGTCCCACTGCGCTTGCCCCATGGGTAACGCCGGGCCTTATTCTAGAGACAGCCTCTGAGCACTGGGGGCTCCAGTCTCCCACAGGGGATCCCCTCAGAGGCACGCAGCCGTGTGTCAGGACAGCTCTTCATGTCTGCTTTTCACCATGGGGACCTGCCAGAGGGCCACAGCCAGTGAGAATCATGGAAGCCATCACACCTGGCTTTTCTGACACTTAATTTGGTTGCATTTTTTCAGCTTCCTCTTCAGGCATGTCATCATTGGTCCCCGTGGGGCCCGGCTCTTGCTTCCTTTTGTTTTTCTTTCTTCGTTTCCCTCCTCTTCGCTCCTCCATGGGCTTCTAGTGCAGTGCATTTGCTCCTTGCCTTGCCTGGGTGCCTAGTCCAGTGCTGCAGGTTCAAGGGGCACCAGGCAGCACCACTTGGCTCTGGCAGAGGCCGCGTGGGGCTTGGTGTTACGGAGAGAGCGCGTGAGAGCAGGAGATCCCATGGTGAGGCAGAGAGCCAGGGAGGGGCAGGGATGCTGTGAGCACCATGTTAATCCCTGCTGGAGGGCAGCCTCCCTAATGACCTCCCACTAGGGTCCGTCTCTCCAGGGTCTCACCAACCCTCAGCATCACTGCACTGAGCTGGAAACTGAGCCCCAAGCTTCCGACACAGGAACCTTTGGGAACACCCTCAAACCATATCCAAACCGGATCAATCCAGTCCTGGTGCCCTCAGTGCAGCTGGTTCACTTGACACAGGACCTGCCCTGTTTACATCTCTGTACCCCGCCATGGACCCCAGGTGATCTCAGCTGGTTTTGTGATGAGCACCTCACACCTGTACCTGCATGGACTGTGAGAGAGTTTCTCTGGCCTGGACCCAGCACTGACGGATGAGTCATAGTGCATGTGCATATTTAATTTCACGAGTGCTACCAGATTGTTTTCCAGAATGACTGTACCAATGTACACTTCCACCAGTCGTGCTTAGGAGTTTCTGTTTCTCTACCTCACCGCCTGCACCTGGTATTAGCAGAGGTATCAGAAAAGATGCACTTGCCAGGTTTGTTTTTCTGCTGTAGACATCACTTTGCCAAGACAGCATTTTGAGCAAAAAGAAGAATCGGGTAGGAAAAGAGGTCCTTTCTATTTCAAGTCTCTATCTTCTACTAGGGAAGAAGAATTTCCCCAGAAATCCCCAGTAGACTTCCCCTTATGTGTCCTTGGCCAGCCTGGGCCAGGTGGCCTCCTGGCCAGCCCCTCTCAGAGGTAATGGGATTGCTGAGGCTGTTTCAGGCTAGGAATGATTCTTCCCTGGCCTCAACTTTCTCTTGAGTGCCTTGCTGTCTGCCCTGAACTTGAACAGTGCTGGAATGTTGTGATAAGAAGTCAGCAGTGGTTGACTGGCTCCTCTACAACCAACAGAGTCTCCTCTGCCAGATCGTTACTTTTGCCACCTTTTGGAGTGCATGCCACCTCTTCTGTACAAGGGATCACCCTGAGGTCCGTGTGGTTGGCATCTGCAGAGTTTCAGAAGTGGTGGGTCCACCCCAGCATGCCTGTTGCCTTGGGGATTAATGTGTCTGTGTCACTTTGGAAGCAGCCATGCTTTTTGCTGTGCACATGTCAGAGCCTGTCCCCACCCCAGCTACCCCAGCTTAGGTTCTTGCAGGATCCCCAGAGAGAAGGCACCAGGAGGATTCAAAGGGAAGAGAACTACAGCCCTGGCCCGGTGCCCTGAGTCCAAGACAGGGTGCCAGCTGTGGACAGGTGGAGAATGCTGGTCAGGGAACGGCACTTCTGCAGGTGGCCGTGTCCCCTTCACCCCAGCCACATGGGTACTGTAGTGGATGCCCTTGTATTTCTGGCTCACCAAACACATTAAGTTTTAAGTGATGCCTAATAAGTTACTGAGTTCTTACTCTTTGCAGGTGGCCTGGGGAGCTTTTCATTCCTGTGATCTTGTAGAAGTCTCCTGATGGTTCCCCAGAGTGTGTCTGGATCCCAGTCACAGCATGGACTGTAGCCAGACCACCTGCAGAATCCCGCTTTGGACATCAATGAGCAGAGCAGCGCTGGGTGAGTAATTTGGCTTTTCTGTGCCATGTCTTTCTCATTTGGGCACGCAGAATCATAGCAGCACGTTGGAAGTCCTCTGTGGGCTAATGAACACAAAGTGCTTAAGAAGGACTCTTGAAAACCATTAGTTAGGTGCTATTTCTCAAAATTCAGGAACCAGGGAGGCTCAGAGGTGCCTATTTACTAAACCTTAGACGGCTCTGAGCAACAGGGCTGCCATTTGAACCCCAGAGCTGGGTTCCTTCCAAGCACTGGTTGGGGGCAGGAAAACCTTGGAGCGGAGGGAACATCACCATCATCCGTCCCCTTGGCAGGAGAGTGGATTCCCAGCCGAAGACTCAGTTACACTTTTCATAGAGTCTCCAGCCATCTACAGTGTAATGCTTCCAGCATTGGAACTTTCTAGAAGGTGTCAGGGGACCATGTAACACTGGGCCACGGAAGATGGGCATGCACCAAGTCAGAGAGGCTCTAGTCTGATTCCTGCTTCCACCACATAGCAGTGTTGAGCTTGTTTCTCGTCGTCATTACCCTTATATTTTCTTCTGGAAAGGACTCATGGAGGGTCTCCTAAGCCCAGCATGGTCAGGGAGGCTCCTTCCAGAATGTGGGCGCATGAGCCCCCTCAGGTTTCCTCTCTTAGTTCAGTTCCCACCCACACACACTGACACCAAGTCAAGGTGCTGTCCCTCAACTCTGTTGGAGTCATTGGAAGGGCTAGAAACCAGGGTTTTAGAACCTTCTGGAAGAGAGTTTTCCTTTCTTAATGAAGCTGCATGGTGGGGCAGGCAGTGCTGGGGTTTGGAAGGGGTTAGCTGCAGTGTCTGTGGGTTTTGGGGAAATAGTTACATGGGACAACCCCTCAGTGTCCTCTCTCTCCACCTGACCGTTTTCAGACCCAGGCCTGGTGCTGGGTGTGAGAGACTGTTTGCTAATGAATGAACGTCCAAGCCAAGCAATGTGAATTTAAACAAAACAGATGCTGGCTTCAAGACACAGATTTCCTCGGAGGCCTTTGGAACCTAACTCAGCCGACTTAGTGACTCACCTGTCTTTTAATTTTATTTCTTTTATTTTTTACGTTTTTGGGTACTGGGGATTGAACCCAGGGGTACTCAACCACTGAGCCACATCCCCAGCCCTTTTTTATATTTTATTTAGAGACAGGGTCTCACCGAGGTGCTTAGTGCCTTGCCAAGTTGCTGAGACCGGCTTTGAACACAAGGTCCTCCTGCCTTAGCCTCCCAGTCTGCAGGGATTACAGGCCTGAACCACCATGTCTGGCCTTAATTTTATTTCTTAAATTTGAATGTCTTTGTCTCTCTTCCTCCCGCCCTCCTTCCCATTTCTCCTAGAGAAGAGAGCACATTCACCCCGCCCCCCGCCACACATACACACCCCTTTCTGCCCCTGTCTCCCGTCACACATCTGACATCTCACCAGAGATTTGGTCACTGCTGAGCTATCTTCATTTAATGTGGCTTTGACAGGATAGTTGGTCTGGAAATTTTATTTTCGATTAAACTTGCTTGTTGAACTACCTCTGTTTTAAAAGGGTTCCATTAAGGTGGGTCATTATATAGCAGTTGTTACAGGAGGTATTTGTGCACAATTTCAGCTCTTAGGTAATTCAAATCAAATGCTTTCTATTTTCCTCCCTCGAGCTGTGTGCTACCATCTTTCTCTTACACTGCAGGCGGTCTGTGAGTTATTTTTAGAAACCCAAATCAAAACAGCAATTTTGGCAGAGGCCATCTCTAGCCCAGCAGAGTAATCCATATGTACCGATACAAACAGCCAAAGAAGCCGCATCTTTAAAGAGCAACAACACCACCTCCCTATTTGTGGGGTTCAATGTTTGGGAACTGTAAGCTGTCTTTTGTGCTATTATATTCCATTCCAAGCTCTCAACTGATGTTGAAGGTAATGGAAATCTCTTTAAAATCATGAAAGAGCTCTCCACTTGCGTACTTTGCCAACATCTGTGTTTCAAGATGGCAGCCTTAGGATTTCCTGGGGACCTAGTTTTGGCTTCTGGATCTCCAGTGAAACATGGAGGTCACTTTCTTTATTTTCTTAATCTCCTCTTTTCTTTCCCCAGAATATATGTCCATACCTCATTATGCTTGACTAGCAGGTAAACCTCTTAGAGTTAGAATATAAGTTTTTGGGCAGGGGCTGTACTTCTTATCTTGTTTCATGACCGACACTCGGAGGTGCTCAGCTGGTGAATGAATAGACAGATGAATCATTAAAATTTTATTTCTATTTCCTCTTTTTAAAAAATTGTCAAACTTTTATTGCAAAAAAAAAAATTAAGTGAATGCATTCATCTTGAGGGGAAAAAAAAATCTTCCCAATTAAGGCTGAAGTTCTTTCAGCTCACCACCCCCAATCCTTGCATCCTCATTATGTCTGCTTAGGTGATATTTGTTATCATTTGGGGGCACATCTTTGCAGACCTCTCCAGAGCATTTAATTTTGCACACACTGAGGACTGTTGGTAGACTTGTGATAAACAGATTACTCTATAGCTTACCTCTATCACTCAGTGGTCCATCAGAATGTAATCCACATTAGCCATCTCTTCCTTTTTAGGGGCTGCATTGTTTGATTACATTAGGCAGCTACACCACCTTTGATTTGGACCAAATAAAGTCTTCCTTTGCTTTCCCATTTGTTATACTTCCACATCTCTTCTCATGTGTAGGTTTTGACATATTAGCCGTCCCTGTCCTTAACCTCGAGATGTGTGCTGTGCCCTGGGGATCGCACAGCGGTGGAGAGTGATGGATACAGGATCGGCTCTGCCCACGGCCAGCTGGGTGTTTCTAGGCAGCTCATTTCCTCTCCCTGGACCTTATGTTTCTCATCTGCACAACAGACTTGGAGCCCCTTCAAGCTGTTAGACTCTAAATAGTAGGACTTACGCAGTGTCACCAGGATTGATTAATAGAATGCATTGTTAGTTCTCCTTCCACTGTGTGCTGGGGTAGGAAAAGAGGCAATTCCCAGCTCAGAGCTCTTAGCTGATACCACAGAGAACCCCTGATTGGCTAGGAAAGTATTGCCTCTGGATTTCAATCTTCTTTACTATTGTTTGGTCATTCAGTTTAAATTCATTTTATTTTATTTTAAAAATTTATATTATTATTATTATTATTATTATTATTATTATTATTATTTGATGGGAATTGAACCCAAGGCTTCATACCTGCTAGGCAACCTCTTTACCACTGAGCTACATCCCTAGCCCTTGTTTTATTTATTTTGCTTTGTTTGCTTTGTTTATTCTAAGCAAGGATGTATAGTTATGGGGACAGAGAGTATGAACCCTTGAGTTCTATTTCCAGGTTTGTCTAATTCCAGCTGTGTCTTCTTAGATAAGTCACTTACCTTCCCTGGGGTTTCACCTGTTAAGATCTTGATTCCAAATTAGCCAGGTATCCACCAAAATAACATGTAAAAGTTGAAAACCACATCCCCACATGCCAGGTTTCGCCTGGCATTTCTGAGCCTCCCGTCCCCTGCAGACAGGTCATCTCATGCATTGATGAGGTGACCTAAGAGACCCCCAAACCCATGAGATCTTGTTTCGCAGGAGAGTTGTGCAGCTGTCCTGGCCCCTGATGACACATGCTGACCTCTTCAGTGGGCTCTGAGAGAGATCCAGAGAAGGTTCTGAGCTCCTATGATTCACAGGTGGGGTTTTCTCCCCTGCGCCCTGGGGCTGTGTGTGTGGTGGGGCTGAGGCAAAGGGTATTCCCCTGCTTTGTGGCTCAGGACCGCAAGGGTCACAGGATCTGATTCACCTGCCTTGGGTTTCCCTAAGGTTCTCGTCAGGCTTCCCATGTAGAGCAGAGTTCTGGCCCTTGGCTTGGCGATGTGCTTTGGTCTGGAGTTACATGGTGCTCTGCAGATGGAAGGTCGGGCTGAGTAGATGTGAGAGTTGTGCTCGGCAGTCTCCAGGGCAGGCTTTCCTGGTCCCTGTGCATTGTCGGGTGCTCCAGCCCTGAGCTTTGGCTCCTGGACAGTGCTCTGGTTGAGGCTGTCCGTGTTGAGCAGGTTCCTACAAAAATAAGCCCAGAGTCTAAGGTGTTCTTCCGCTTGCTGAGTTCCTCTGTGTTAAGCCCTCCCAGCCTCTGCTTCCTGCCCTGCGGGGTCCTCATTAGATAAAATGACCCTCTGCAATAACCTGTTCCTTCCTTCCTTTTCTTATATGGGGGGAAAAAAAAACCCCGTCATTTTATAGGCTCTGAATCTGTAAATGAGCATCCGAAAGCCTACTGTGGGTGTTTTCACATTAACCAAAATAAAACCAAAAGGCAGCACGAGAAATGGGTGGGGGGGGGGAATGTCGTTAACCAGGTAAACATGGTCAATTAATAAAAAAATAAGTAATTAAGTAAGTAAAGGGACGGCAGTAACCATCCCAATATTTCCCCATTACCGCCCTCCTTGTTTTAATCAGTTGCCTGCAAATGTGACTTGCATTGTTTAAGTCCCTCCAGAGCGAGGTACATGGTCCCCTGTTCTTGATCCTCCTCCAACCTGTCAATACCATTTTCATTCACAAAGTGGAAACTTTCAGAAATGAGTCAACTTGCCCTGTGAATCATAGGTCCTTGATGTGAAATGCTTGTTGCTGCTGGGGTGAGATGGGGAAAATCAGAATGAATTCTTTGACCCTAAAAGTCAGTCTAAGTGAACTCTGGACAGGGAGGGTTTAAGGGGTGGGATTCCTGCTGTCCTGGGGCTGCGTTGCGGAGGGAAACCCAGGGACTTAGAGTTTACGCCCGCTGTTGCAGCCCCTTCTGTAGTTTGTGCACCTCTGCATTGTGAGAATCGTCACAGCTTGGGAGACCTCTGATCCTGGGGAGACAGGACTGAAGGTTCTTAAAGACCAGAGTTTCAGTTGATCTTATGTGCATCTCCAGTGAGGGCTTCCGCCTAGAAGCTTCTCAGAAGTTGTGGAGGAGGAAGAGATGGTGCTATTGTTGCAAGTTGTCTGGCTTTGCTGCCTGTTCTCCTCTTTTCTGCCTTCAGTATGGGATTCATAGACTCCCATATATATACACACACAAATATCAAAAAATATTATAAGAAAGCAGATATGTCAAAAATAGTATGAGAAAGTGGGAAAAATGAAAAGTTATTTATAATCTCATTGCCCTTGGTAACAATACCAATTATCACCATCAATGTGCTATAACCCATTTGTGTTATTTTGCAGTCTTTTTTTTTAACATAATTATTATCTTGGGATTCTTTTCAATTTTTCCATTTATGTTTTTCTGCCAGCAATGCCCATGCAATTTCACAGCCTTTTCAACTACCATTTTGGAATTTCCTTTATCCATGTGCTGTGAGTGATGAGATATCCTTCTAGAACGTTGTTATATCTCAAGAGAATTTCAGAAGTGAAATGTTTTTAAGCCATTTATATGCATATATGTATATATAAATACATGCATTCTCATATACACAAATATACTTAATATATATTTAATATTTAATAAATAGTTTTATATATTTATATCTAAATATATTTAAATGAATGTAGATTTACCAAAAATCTAGTGGAAAGTACCTTTTCCATATTCTGTGGCCCCTCCCCCCATATCTCCTGTTATCAGCACTTTGCATTACTGTGGGCCCTTTATTACAATTCATGAGCCAATAATGATACATTATGAGTAACTATAGCCCATAGTTTCCATTAGGTCCAGTCCTAGTGTTGTGTAGTTCTGTGAGTTTTCATAAATGCATGGTGCTATAAATCCACCACTATGGGATCATATAGAGTAGTTTCATTGCTCTAAGATTTTCCTTTGCTGCATCTATTCATCCACTCACCTCTTCACCAACTCTTGGCAGCTACTGATCTTCCCGAGGAGTTGGGTCTACATACCTGGCTCTGGGCTTTTTACTGTCTCTCTAGTTTGGCCTTTTCTAAAATGTCACATAGTTGGAATCATATAGTACGTTGCCTTTTGTGATTGGTGTCTTTCCCTTAGTGATGTGCATTTAAGGTTGCTCCAGGTCTATTCATGGCTCAATAGCTTGTTTTTAGAGCTAAATAATATACCATGGATGCACCATGGTTTATTTGTCCATTCACCAACTGAAGATCATTTTGATTGCCTTCAAGTTTTGACAATGTTGAATTGTTGTGTCACTTTTTGCCTGGATGTAAATTTTCAGTTCATTTGTGTAAATACCAAGGAGTACAGTTGCTAGATCTTAAAAGAATATTTTTGGTTTTGTAAGAAACTGCCAGACTCTTTTCAAAAGTGGCTGTACCATTTTGCTTTGTACCACTGTTTCCAGTGATCTGTCCTCAGCAATTGCACCCTTACCGTAATTCTTCCTCCTACATGCTCAGGCAATCTTAAGCCAGTTATTTTTTTTAACATTCTGGGCATCAGATTTCTCACCTGCAAGTCAGTAGTATTTCATATATATGCTCTTGTTTAAAGTGAAAGCAAATTTTGTGTAAATGTAGTGTATTTCCCGGTACCAACTTACCATTAATTTATATGCACTAGGAAAGAAACAAATGCTTCCATATTAAATGATGGTATGTCCCTGACTGTAAGACACATCAATTTTGGAGATGCTGAAATTTGAAAAGAAAGATGTATAGCTTAAGATCTTTGATTTGAAGACTGATGAGCACAAATACCTACTAAAACCCAGGCACAAAACAAGCCCTCAAAATCTGAGTTTGTACAGGGTGAACAGACAGCTTAAAGCAAATGTTCTCTGATATATGGATGCTGATCCATAATGGGGGTGGGGGAGGAATATGGGAGGAATAGAGGAACTTTAGATAGGGCAAAGGGGAGGGAGGAGAAGGGAGGGGCAGAGGGGTAGGAGAGATGGTGAAATTAGATGGACATCATTACCCTAAGAACATGTAAGAAGACAGGAATTGGTGTGAATATACTTTATATACAACCAGAGATATGAAAAATTTGTGCTTTATGTGTATAAAATGAATTGTAATGCATTCTGCTGTCATATATAAATAAAAATAATAATAATTCAAAAAAAAAAAAAAGAAAACAGTAAAAAAAAAAAAGAAGAAGAAGAAGAAAGAAAGACTGGGGCTCCTTGGAGTGGGAGTGGAGCCAATGTGACAGCATGTGACAGAGATCTAAGTGCAGATCTGGTGAGAGCCAAGGGGCTCAGAGCCGAGTCCAAGGCGAGTTACTGTGTCTGCTCACAGTGCAGACTGGGCAGTGAGTGACACTCCCCATGCTGTAGCAGTGTCCTCAGCCAGTGATCGACCTTCACCTTTAGCCTCTGCCAAGAGCCTGGGGGACTATTGGCTGGAGCCACCGAGAGTGAAGGCCCAGTGAAGCACTTGGGGATGCTTGACCTTCTGTTGCTCTACTTTGTTTCCACTGTCCTCAGAGAAGACACTGTGCTTGATGTCTGTTCTTTGAAAGTTACTGAGAGTAATTCAATGGCCCTGCATATGGCCTATCACCGTGAAGGACACATGCACTTGAAAAGACCATGTCTGTAGGGCCTGGGGCAGAGTGTTCCCTAAATATCCATTGTGAAAAGTCCTCAGCTCAGGGTAGTTGCTGTTCAAGAAAATCTCGTTCTTTCTTTTTTTTTTGCCTTGATACCCAAATAAACCCATAAGCAGGAGGAGATTTTCATTTTTGCACAGACGAGCAGTTTCTGAGGACGTTGTCATCACCCTTCAGCAGGCCCAGGGGAGGAAGAGGGCCAAGGTCCCTGTGGGTGAGAAGCCACAGCCAGGCCTGGACCCCGGGAGGCTGACTCTCTGACAACCTGCCCTCCTTGGGCCAGAGAGAAAACACCTAGGGATTTGCTCAAGGGAGGGAGATGTGCCCTGCGTGGCAGAACTCTCTTCTTTCCCTTCTGAGTTCACCCAGCCCTTGCTGGAGACCTCTGGCTTTGTCCGTTTAGCCGCTGCTGTTCCAGAGCACCACAGGCCAGTGGTGCGTAATCAGGAAACATTGATTTCTACAGCCCCCGCAGCTGGGAAGCCCAAGTTCAAGGATTGCTCAGTTTCTTGTGAGGGCCGACCTTCTGGCTCACAGATGGCCACCTAATTGGCTGTCCTTACCTGGCAGAGGAGGTAAGGGAGCTCCCTGGGTGTCTTTTATAAGGACACTAATCCTGTTCACAAGGGCTCCACCCTCATGAGCTAATCACTTCCTCAAGCCAAACCCCACCTGATGTCACCAAATTGAAGGTCAGGAAATCAACGTGGGAATTTTAGGGGAACAGATTCAGTCCATAACACCTGCTCTTTACTGCAGTTCCAGGCTCTGGGATAAAAAAGGACCGCCCTTCCCTTTCAGAATCTGTAGGCCACGTGGACAACGCACAATTATGTACAGCAGGTCGGGGGTCCTAACTGGGAAAGTGTGACATATTAGAAGAGAATCACTCCCTGTGTCTCCCTCTCCCTTTCTCTGTTATACACATCTCAGCAAACTGCGGGGTTTCCACAAGGAAGCCAAGAGTGGGAATAACATGGTTCTAGCCGTAAATCTACTGGCAACTTTTAGCAAAAGGTTTTCTTGAAGGGCGAGGAGCATGCCCGCTCCCCGAGGCCTGGTACACCAGGTCCAGAAAGCTTTCAAAAGCTTGCTTTTGTTTTGTTTTGGCAATCTGGGGAAGCCGTGACACCTTTTTAGAATAATGCTTTTACAGGGCATATGAGAAGCATGCTCAGGATCGGGAAGGAACCAGCCATGTCCGGCCCTGACCTACGGAGAGAGGAGGACCTGGAGGCCTAGGGGATAATGGGGAGATATTTTGCAGAAAAGGAGAAAGTCTTCCCTGGGATGGATTCCATACTTAGGAAATCTGTGAGAGGCCGGGCGGAGGCTTTCCTCCCAGGTAAGTGTAGGTAACTCCATAAACGCCTATCCTTGGTGAGCTCATGGTTACTGTTTCTTTTCTCCCCAAAACTGTGTCCCAACTTCCAGAAAATAGACACACTGACCCTTAAATTGTCCCTCTTTGTTTCCCTTGTTCTCTGAGACAAGAGTGATAACAGTGGACATTGTGGGAAGCAAAGTGTTAAAGACTGGCTTTTCTGGGGAAGGGAGAGCAAGTCCTGGACTGAATGATCAGAGGTTTCTTCAGAAGCCTGTGGGGTCACTGTGGGACTTTGAACCTCAGATGGGAGTTCACCAGAGTATAGCCAAGGAGGATGGGTGATCCGGGACTGCAGCTGAGGAGAGGTCAGAGGTTCAGGGAGGACGCATGACGCACTCTGGGGGCAGGGGCAGCAGCAGCGGCCGGGAGCCTGTGAGATCAGACACCAGCTCTTCTCCCCGCAGCTACTTTGCTTATATCCCCTTGCTCATTACCCCCTAGGACCTGCAGTCCCCAGTTTACTAGTGAGACAAGGGACACTAAGCATAGTTAACCCAAGTTCATCCAGCTGGAGGCCGTAGAGCTACGATCTTACTCCACAGAACCTGGGCTCCCAGGTCCTTGTGCTGTTTTATCCCATGCCACATGCCTACTCGGCCTGGGTGCCCATTTTATGTCCTTTTTAAAAAGCCTGAGGATTTCTGGTGAGTTTCTGAACCTCAGGATTCTCATCTGTAAAACGGGGATAATATTTATCACCTTCTCCGCAGACATTCTGTTCTTTAAAAAAAAAAAATTCTGAAACTTTTACAAAGGGGACTCGGGTGGCAGATTAGAGGTACCCATACCCGCCTGCTTCTCCGTGAGTTAGAACCAAAACATCTGGAGAACGGATGCCTATGGAGCGGGTGACTGAGAGAATGCAAGAGTTCAGCAGCCGCCAGAGACTTGGGGAAACGCAGAGGCTTTGGATAGTGGGGTCTATGTGGAACAGAGCACCCCAGCACTGCTCACCGCAGAGGATGACAGTAGAGGTGAAAGAGGGGGAGACCCAGGAGCACCAGTCACACAGGAATTCACACCTTGCAGAAATACAGCCTGAGCAGACGTCCACCCCCCTGCGTGTAGGCAACTGGCTCTGGGGCGGTCCTCTGCACTTCCCCACTGTGTTCCAGGTGCTGTACCAGGGGCCATCTCCCAAGGTCAGGCCGAGCCTCCTCCCCGGGAGTCAAAGGCCCTTGCATGTTCCTCTCTGGTCCCTGGAGCAGTATTCCTGTGCTGATCCGGGGGAGGCTGCCTCGAGAGTCAGTGTGGTCCCGCGGCTTCCACCAACCTGCCAAGGGGACAGACAGCCACGCGGAAGGGAGTGGAGGTGCTCCCCCTTAAACCGGGGTTCCCGAGGCCAGCGGGAGGCACAGCTCAGAGTCCTGGGGGGTGGAGAGCTGGGCTGCGGCCACCCCAGCACAGACAGCGGCCTCTCCCCAGCCTCTCCTCACCCTGGGAGCGCAGCACAGGAAGTGCAGAAGGCACCTGTGCCAGGCACGTCCGCACCCCATGACAGCTTGGTGACACGCTGCCTGCAGTCGGCAACTGCCCGGCTGTGTCCGTGCGCAGCCCCGGAACCCAGAGTCGGGGTGTGCGGATGCCACCTCCTCGCAGCTGAGAGGGTCCCTGCCGACTCCAGCACCAACCAGTCCTGTGGCCCCCAGGGGAAGCACCCCCAAGGAAAGAAGGGGTGACACGAGGCAGCTCTGAGGGGCCCCTCCTGCCGCACAGCAAGCGCCATAGGGAGAGGGACTCTTCTAATTATTAGGGCTTCTTATTGCTGGGTTTGGTTTGTATATACTTTTCTTAGTTTGCTTTCTAATATTTATTATATTATTTTTGCTTTTCATCTTTTACCCTTCTCCTGCTTGTCCCCTTTTGTCCTTTAATTTTCTTTTCTTTTTTAAAATTAATTTTTGCTTAATTACCTTTTCTCTTTGTAGTTTATTCTATATTATCTGTGCCCCTTTTCTGTTGTGGTGGCTGCTGTTTTTATTTGGTTTTTACTTTGTGTCCTTTCATGGTTTGTTTTCTCGGTGGTTGTCTTGGTGGTTGTTTCCTTCTTTCTAAGCAGTATTCGGGATTGGGTCTGACACTTGGACTAGATTTGGTGGCTGCTCTGCCACAAAGCCACACTCCCAGCCCAGCTCGGAGAAATTGCACCTTACTCCAGCTGCAAACTAACCCACCCACGCAATCTACGGGACCCACATAGGAAGGACTTGGAAGGGGCATCAACACCCATAGCAACCATGGAGAGAATAACAGTGGCTGTGGACACCAGGTTTAAGAGGGACCTCAGCACAGGGGACTTCATACCCTATCAGAGCCACAGGTTGCTGACTAGATGGGAGGAGAACTCACAGAGGGGACAACTCATATGCTCTGCTGTCTACACCACACCTGTTTGAACTACCAGAGAGGACCCCTCCACCAGGGACCCCCCACACACACCATCTTGAGAGACCTGTAGAGAAACCAGGGCCCTCAGCTCCAACACAGTGTTCATTGTGCCAAAACCCACCCATCGCAGTCAAAGAAGCCACAGGGAGAGTAGACTGTGAGGTTGGATTGGAATTAAACCCAATACTACCCAGCCAACCAATGTCCCAGGGCACACCATTGGGAGGAGGAGGCAGCTAAGTAAGAAGGCCTTCACACAGAAGTGGAGGAGAAATCTGTCACAACTGATGCCCAGACGCAGTGTGGAATCACGGGGACTATGGCAAAACAGGCGCACAGCCCCCGTGAGACGTTCCTAATGCTCTAGTCACTAACTCCAAAGGATCAAAGTGGATGGAATGAACGCTGGGCAAAGACTTCTAAAGAATGAGTTAAAAAACCTCGGTGAGTTCCAAGAGCATACAGGTAAACATCTGCACCAAGGAAGGGAGACATGGCACGTCCAGATGAGCAGGTCCATAAAGAGACAGAGATCTTGAAAAAGAATCACACAGAAATCCTGGGAGTGAAAAGCTCAGCAAGTCAGACGAAAACTTGGGCAGAAGAAAGAGAATTGGGGAAAACAAAAAAGGCAAGTGAATCAGGGATTGAAGAGTAGACTGAGGAATTATCGTATTGAGAGGGTAGTAAAGGAAGAGGAAAGAAAATGAACAGAATGCACCAGATCTCTGGGGCCCTCTAGAAGACCAAACATACACATAATTGGAATAGATGAGGGAGAGCAGCTACATCCAGAGGATGCAGAATACACATTATTTTCATTAGCACATGAAACTTTTTCCAAAATAGATCATGTAGTAGATGATGGAGCAAGTGTCAACAAATCTAAAAAAGTTGACATTGCATTTTTGCATCTTATCAGATCATAGTAGGATGAAATTGGACACCAACAGCAAGAGGAATTGTACAAGTTATACAAACACATGGATATTGAATAATGCAGACTTTTGAACAGTCAGTCAGTCATTGAAGATATGAGAGGGAAATTTAAAAGTTTCTCAAATTAAATGAAAATAGAAACACAACATACCAGAAACTATGTGATACAGTGAAAGCAATACTAAAAAGAAAACTTACGGTTATGAGTGCCTACATTTAAAAAATGGATCTCAACTTGCTTTTCATCTTTCACAGTCAAAGAAGCCACAGGGAGAGTACACTGTGAAGTGCACTCTCAGTGTGTCTCAAGGTCTTAGAAAAACATGGACAAAGCAAATCCAAAATCAGTAGAAAGAAAGAAAGAATAAAGATCAGGATAGAAATAAATGAAATAAAGGTGAAAAGAATAATACAAATGATCAATGAAACAAAAGGTTGGTTCTTTGAAAAGATAAAAATGACAAACCCTTAGCTAAACTAACCAAAAGAAAGCAAAAAGCAGAAAACTTGGAATGAAATCACCATTTGACCCAGTTATTCCACTCCTCGGCATACACTCAAAGGACTTAAAATCAGCATGCTGCGGTGCCATAACCACATCAATATTTATGGCAGCTGAATCCACAGGAGCAAAGCTATGGAGCCACACTATTTTCCCTTTAACAGATGAATGGATAAAGAAAATGTGGTATGTATACATAATGGAATATTACTCAGCCATAAAAAAGAATGAAATTATGGCATTTGCTGGTAAATGGATGGAACTGGAGACTATCATGCTAAGTGAAATAAAGCAGTCCAAAAAAACCAAATGCCAAATATTCTCTCTATACAGTTGCTAACAGAATAACTGTGGGGGAGGGAAGAATAGACGTTCACTGGATTGGGCAAAGAGGAATGAAGGGAAGGGAAGGAGTATGAATGAACCAAACAGATCTTTCCTATGTTCATATATGAATACACAAACAGTGTAACTCCACAACATGTTCAATCCCAAATACTCCATGTAGGTATAATACATCAAATACATTCTACTGTTATATATAACTAAAAAGGGCAAATAAAAATAATTTTTTTTAAAAAAGAGGAGCAAGGCATCCCAAGTAATTAAAATGAGAAGTGAAAAGGGGGATATTACAACAGATACCTCTGAAATTCATAGATAGGATCACCATGGAATATTTTGAAAAAAAAAATGTATGACAATTAACTTAAAAATCTAGAAGAAATGGAAAATGTCTGGACACATATGACGTACCAAAATTGAAACTAGAGGATACAAGAAAACCTAAACAAATAAATAATAGACAATGAGATTAAAGCAGTAGTAAAAAGTCTCCCAAAAAATAAAAGCCCAGGACCAGATCAATTCACTGCTGAATTTTACCAAATTTTAAGGAAGAACTGATACAAGGTCCTCAAATTATTCTGTAAAATAGAAAGAGAAGGAAACCTTTTAAACTCATTCTACGAAAGCATCATCCTAGTACCAAAATCTGATAAGAGAAGAACAAGAGAGAGAGAGAGAGAGAGAGAGAGAGAGAGAGAGAGAGAGAGAGAAATAAGTATAAAAATCTTCAGTGAAATACATGCAAGTTGAATTCAGCAGGTTATTAAGAATATCATACACC